AAGCTCTTGCAACTTTTTGGAATTTTAATGGCTTTACCTTGAGCTCATTTTTCAAGATTTACCGAATGGAATATTGCGATATGTTCGGCTCAAGAGCCATTTTTCGGCCACTGCGACGCGGGTTTCGATCAAGTCGCTTCTTTTCTTGTCGAACCATTTCTGCTGATGTTGCTGTTTTCTTCCATTCACTTCCTTGACATATGTCGGGCTATGCTACCAGTAACGGTGACGGGGAATGGTACGAGGCACAAAAGATTTTTTTTTTCTGGAAAATTCTCACGAAAATGCTTTTGTACGCAATATTATGAGCTGTCACTGGACTAATTTTACCAGCTGTCGGACCAGTGGCTTAGAAATGACAGCAGTTTGAAGTTGCTTGCAGTTTTTTATCTCACCCTTCAGGCATCAACTCAAAAAAAAGATTGAGGAAAAATTTATCAATAAATTAGGAAATATATTCCCGATTTTTTGATCGAACATTGATGCAAATATTTTCTTGATATATAATTGAAACATAAATTTCTTTCCCTTGGTTACTTATAATGAAGAATATCTTTGTCTATGACGTCATCCTCCTAAAATGATGATTTGTTGCAGATTTTTGCCCAAACCCACACAAAGTAAGGCTTTAACCATAAAAGGTCTCTTTGGTATATATGAATTCCTGACAGTTAAATAGGATTTAGACTTTTGACGTGTTCTAACACCTATAGTAGAATTTTATGACAAATAATTTTGTGTAATATTATAACTTGCAACGATCCCGCTTAAGGCGAGTTTTTAAGCATATTTGAAAAAGAGGACCAAAAAGAACCCTTTCTTGACTCGCTCGAGGTTTAACTTTCTCGACCGAAATATTTATCGTACTTTTATCTGCAATATTACCGAAGACACTATATACCTTAAACGCACGGATTTCGAGGAATCTTAATTTAAAAATTGTTTAAAGGTGTGGAAGAGAGGGAAATTGCCCCCCCTCTTTTTTGATTAATTTGCGGTTTTTTCCTTGACTGGTTAAAGAAATTTGAATTTTTTAGGAAAGTGAAATTTTTCCGAGGATTTTATGCCATAAAAAAGGATTTATGGAATTTGTTTCCTTGTGTTATGCTTTTTATACCCTACAACACTATGTGTTGGGGTATTATAAGTTTGATTGGGCCAGAACTTATGTAACACCTCGAAATATTGGTTTCCCATATAGGAAAGTATATATGGATCTTCCTAGCTCGCCGAGCTGAGTCGATCTAGCTATGTATGTCCGTCCGTCCGTCTGTCCGTCTGTCCATGTTAATTTGTAATCACTCTACAGGTCGCAATTATGGCCCGATCTTCACGAAATTTAGAATGTAGGTGGGGCTTGGACCAGAATAGAACCCTATTGCTTTTGGAGATGATCGCCAAATGTTTAGGGGTTAAAATGGACCAAATACTGAAAAAATGTTGGATTTTGCAGTAGCTATACAGGTCGCAATTATAGACCAATCGACGCGGAATTTCGGATGTAGCTAGAGTTTAGGGCGGGGAAGAAGCCTACCAATTTGGGTGGTCATCGGATAATATTTAGCGGGTAAAATAGACCATATATTTTGTGTTGAAAAAATTCAAAAATTTTCCTTAAACCGCGAATATTTTAAATCCTGGCGAAATCACGAAGCCATGACAAGGTTACTTCTGATCTTTACATTGATGTTAACATCCAACAAAACGGATATATAGCAAAATATGTGCGATATATATGTTTATCAAAGAAGATATGCTTGAAAAATCTCTTATATGTCGAGAACGGCTGAACTGATTTCGACAGTTCTCATTAATTCAGAATGGCCTCTTGGCAGGAAACATAAAACGTCTAAAAAAATCGCATAAAAATATCTCTCTAAAGATGAAAATATTGATTTTGTAAAATTTTCTCATATTTTTTTAATTTTGTCATATTTTTGGCATATTTTCATTTTGAATTAAACATTTGGTAATATTTCTACAGCTAACAAAACTAAGTAGTTAGGATATCAAGATATCATATACAGATCGCATTTATGGCCCGATCCTTACGAAATTTTGCATGGAGATAAGGGTCAGAATAGAAGCCTACTCTTTTTGGAGATGATCGCCATATATTTAGGGGTTGAAATGGACCAAAAAACTGCAAAATTGTCAGCAGGTCGTAATTATCGCCCGATCCTCACTCACATTTGAATGGGGGTTACCGGACATTGCAAAAGCCAAGCAGCGACATCTACCATTCCAGCGACATCTACCAATAACTTGGAAATGAGCAAATTCGTTTAAGTTGCTATTATCCGAAAATTAGAGAACGAAACATGATGGTTTTTTTTATTATTTGTCACAATATCTTGTGGAGTTCTTTCGAGTATCTCGCCTATATAAACTGTATGGTTTATTATAGTGTTGTAGGGTATTCAACTGTCGGCCCCGCTCGACTGTAGCCTTTGCTAACTTGTTTATTCTGTAAATAATACCGTCCATTTAGCCATTCAAACTCACTCAACACTGATCGTACGATGCGATGAGTGACATTTTTTTTTGTGGGATTCCAAACCACCCTTAATTCTCGTCAAGCCGAGGGATTATTGAGAAATACCTGTTGCGACACTAATCCATTGACATTTTTTTTTGTAATTGGCCAAACGAGCCGCATCGGAATTCCTTTGTTTGCCTAGAAACCGAGTTATGATTTTAAAATATTTTTTCCTTAAGATTTGTGCAGGTGTTGTTATTAAAAAAAAACACTATCTTTATCATTGGAATGGCCATCAGATGCCACTGGATGCTAACGTCCATGAAGCGAAGCCGAACATCTCATGAGCAAAAAACAATTGAATTTGAGATGTAAACAAAAGCCGGGCAAGTGATAAGATTTCCCTTCGCGGGTTACATGACATTTCGAAGAATGTGATTTTCTCGCCGGGGCATTTTTTTTAGAAATGTCAATGAACCAAGGGAAAAATGAAAAGAGAGAAAAAGGGAAAACCCCTTAAGAATTAATTGTGAGAAGCTGGCGGATTTTGAGGTTTATAATGAATATCTTGTGTTTTATTGACAGAAGATTGTTCATGGATCATTCATGAGGGGATGTAAGACTTTTTGAAGACCTTTTAGAGATTCCAAACCATTCATAGCATAAGAAAAAGGCCATTAGAGCTCTTATTTGATCAATTATATTGCACAAGTCAGATATAAGTTTTCCTCCACAAATCATCAATAGAAGCAAGACCTTTTTTATGATATACAGGGTGAGATGAAAAAACCGGAACCAACTTTAGACTGCTGTCATTTTTAAGCCACTCGTCCGGCAGCTGTTAAAATTATTCCAGTGACAGCTCATTTTATTGTTTACAAACGTACAAAAGAATTTTGGTGAGAATTTTCCAGAAAAAAAATTTACTCGTGATGGAATTCAAGCGTGATAGTGTGATTTCTTTATATTTGGCTGGAAAACCACAAGTGGTTATCGTTAGAGCACTCCAGCATTTAAATGTGAATAAATCTTTTGTGTCTCGTAACATCGCTCGTTACCGGACCGTGATACTGGTAGCGTAGCCCGACATATGTCAAGTAAGTGAATGGAAGAAAACAGCAACATCAGTAGAAATGATTCGAAAAGTAAAGAAGCGACTTGATCGAAACCCGCGTTGCAGTGGCCGAAAAATGGCTCGTGAGCTGAACATATCTCAATATCCGATTCGGAAAATATTCAAAAATGAGCCATTGAAATTCCAAAAAGTGCACGAACTTACGCCGCAAAAGAAAAAAAGTAGACTCAAAAGAGCTAATGAGTTGCTTCGCTTGGCCGATAGTGGTGAACTGCCGAATTAGGGTTTCTCCGATGAGAAACATTCGTTGTACAGCAGTTTGAAAACAAACAAAATGATCGTGTTTACTTGCCAAAGTGGACAGCTGAAAATGTGCACCTTCGGTTGGCCACCAGAACTCAAGCCTCAAGCCGGCCATGGTAATGGTGTGGGCCGCCACAGCAGCCGAAGGGCGCACTTTCCCTCGTATTAATCGACCGTGGCATCAAAATAAATGCCGAATATTACCGGGAAAATATACTGGAGGGTGTATTAAATGAGGTTCCTCACTTCATTTCCAGAGCACAATGGCCACCAAAATCTCCGGATACCATTCCGTTGGACTATTGTGTCTGGAGTATTTGAAGGAAAGCAAGGTTGGCACTAAAAAATACCAAAGTGTCGATCACCATAAGCAAGCGGTTCGCCGGGAATGGACCAAAATACCGCAGAGCAACATTCGGGCAGCGTGTGATGGTTTCATTGGCCATTTGAAGGCCATAATTCGTGCCAAAGGTGACCGATTTGAACAAATCTAAACCTCTTTCAAAATTTGATGCAATTTCCGAAATTGTTTGCCTTTAGTCAATAAAATTTAAGAAAAAATGTAAAAATTATGGCGTTTGACTTTGTTGCAGTTTTTTATCTCACCCTGTATTAAGAGGAATGATCTCTCGAAAAATGGCGTTCCATGGTACTAGAATTCCGAGGGAATATTCATGATTGGGACAATTTCCTCTAAAGAAGAGTTCAAGAGTTTTCACATCTTCAATATGTTTTCCCCCAAAAACTCCATTATTCCTACATTTCCATACTGGCATCCCTAACTGAACTGATTTATCTGATCTCATATGTAAATCTATGTAAATTACAATAATTTTCTTTTACAGGTAGTCGGCCAAAATAGCAGTTGGCCAAACATTCATTTTGGTAGTAACGTAACACACACACATGCACACACACACACTGAAACTCTTTAGCGCACACAAAATGTTTGGGCGCCAACATTGAGTCAACTTACCGTCCACCACGCAGCCATTCATTCATCTTTAGACCAAAACCGATGAGTGAACAACGACTGATGTATGAAATGTGGCCAAAAACAAAAAGCGTGATGTTGAGTGAAAATCGAAAAAGTCTCAAAACCGCATAATGAGACAAAAACAGAAACGCATTTCAGAAATTCCACAAATTGGTGAAAGACTTCAAGAGGAGCGTACACACAAGACAAGACAAGCCAGCCCAGGCCAAGACAAGACAGCCAAGCAAGTAAATCAATAAGTCAGGGCAGAGATCGAATATTGAACAACTAAAGAAATCAAAACAAAACAGAGAAAAAAAATAACAAAATTACATTGTTGTTGGGAAGAGCGGCATTCATTGCTAGTTTTTTTTTTTTTTGGATTTTTGAAATAATTTTTGAACGTGTTCGCGGGCCAATAGCACCAACATAGTTAGTGGCATTATTATTGTTGTTGTTTTTGTTGTCACTATTACCACCGCCACTTGAACGCTTGTGTGCTGTTAAACAATTTGTAGTTAGCCGAACTGAAATTGAATACCCGCAGAAAATATTTGAAATTTGTTTGAACGGTCAACACACCAGGCAATTAACTTTGCAGCGGTGCTAACGACTTGGAAAAACTTCAGTATCAGGAAAACTGTAATTAACGGAAAAACTAATCAATCAAAATGGTAAGTAAAACTGGTGATCAACCTGATGTTGTTGTTATAGTTTTGAAGAAAAAAAAACAAAGATTTAATTAAAAATCTTTGAATATTTTTCTATTTTGAATATTTTTACATTTTTATTTGAATATTTATATATAATTTTTTTTTGAATATTTTTATATTTTTATTTGAAACGAAAGCACTATTCCCGTAAAAAAAATGACCCTTAGAGAAAACATATATTTTATAGAAAAGTTACTCAAAAGTTATCTTTCTTGTTTAAAGCTCCAAGGTCAAGGAAGTGTCCTCCTTGTTCCTTTGAAAGGACATCTACTTTAGAAAAATTACACAATGCGATGAAATTCATTTGTTTTCCAACATTACATAAAAAATCCAGATGATTATGAAAGTAGAGCTAAAAATAGAACACACGTATATTGGCGGTTTGAAAGTTTACATCGCAATATAACCCTGCTCCACATTTTTGGAAATTTTCGTACTAAAATTCCTTGGAATATTTGCATTTTAGGCAACATGACAAATATTTTGGTCGCACGTCGTAAACTTCAAGCGAGTCACTAAAGGGGTCGTTTTAGTTCAGTTTCCAAAATATGGTTAAAAACTCCCCTTAAACCTGGTCGTAGCACATCAAAATATTCTGCAAATTTATTTACCATAAAATTCCACTATGGGTCCGAGAAGACATCAAAAGTCTAAAACTTACCTAAACGCCAGAAACACATATATATTAAAAAGAAACATTTTTTTGGGCTAAAGCCGTACTTTATTTGAGTTTATACACAAATCTTCTACAAAGCATTATCCTAGAAGGATTTAAGGCAAAAACTGTCAAAAGAAGAAATATTCTATTCAAAATTCCGCTACCAATCTCAGACTATATCATATATCTAGATTTATTAGAATTTGAGAAAATTACATTCGAAAGTTCATATATTTCAAGTGAATATTATGTGTTTTTCGTTTCTTGCAGCCAATTGAAGTCGATTCAATTTTTGGTAAAAATCTCCATTAATACTCCATTCTTTTGGGAAAATGTCAAAGGGAGAAATATTCTTCATCAAATTTCACTATAAGTCACCAAAGAAATAATATCTATATTTCCACTACATATTAGGAAAATATCTGCAATGTTGCCAAAAAACCAAAAAAAAAAAAAATATATATATTTCCTTATTTTCTTAAAAAAATTTTCACAATTTTTCGAGTTAATGTTTAAAAGTAACATTAAATTTCATTTTAGACAAAAACTCTCAAAAGATGAAATATTCTTAAATCTCAGAATATACCATACATCTAGGTTTAATAGAATTTGAGAAAATTACATTCGAAATTTATGTATTTCAAAGGGAAGAATATGTGTTTATGTTTTTTACAGCCAATTGAAGACGTTTCAACTCTTAGTAAAAATCTCCATTAATACTTCATTCTTTTGGGAAAATGTCAAAGGGAGAAATATTCTTCATCAAATTTCACTATAAGTCACCAAAGAAATAATATCTGTATTTCTATTATATATCAAGAAAATATTTGCATCAATGTTGCCAATAAAGCAAAAAAAAAATTTTTTTCCCTTTTTTCTTGATAAAATTTTCCATTGCCATTTTTCGACTTAATGGCTGAAAGTAACATTAAATTTCATTTTAGGCAAAAACTGCCAAAAGAAGAAATATTCTATACAAAATTTCATTATAAATCTCAGAATATACCATGTATCTACGTTTAATAGATTTTGAGAAAATTACATTCGAAGTTTCATATATTTCAAGTTAAAATTATGTGTTTACGTTTTTTGCAGCCAATTGAAGACGTTTCCAATCTTAGTGAAAATCTCCACTAATACTTCATTTTTTTGGAAAAGTGTTGGAGAAAGAATTATTCTTCATCGAATTTCACTATAAGTCACCAAAGAAAAGATATCTGTGTTTTCATTATATATGAAAAAATATGTATATCAATGTTGCCAAAAAAGCAAAAAAAAAAATTCTTTTTTCTTGACAAATTTTTCCACTGCCATTTTTCGAGTTAATGTTCGAAAGTAACATTAAATTTCATTTTAGGCAAAAATTGTCAGAAGAAGAAATATTCTATGCGAAATTTCACAATAAATCTCAGAATAAACTACATATCTAGGTTCAACAGATTTTGAGAAAATTACATTTGAAATTTATATATTTCAAGTGAAAATGATGTGTTTACGATTTTTTATAGTCAATTTTAGACGTTTCAACTCTTAGTAAAAATCTCCATTAATACTTCATTTTTTTGAGAAAATGTTAAAGGCAAAAATATTCTTCATAGAATGTAACTATAAGGCACCAAAGAAAAGATATCTGTTGGTCCATTATATATCAAGAAGAAATTTGCATCAATGTTGCACAAAAAAAAAAAAAAAAAAAACGAAAATATTTCCTAATTTTCTTTTGATAAATTTTTTCACTGCAATTTTTCGAGTTAATGTCTGAAAATAACATTAAATTTTATTTTAGGCAAAAATTGTCAAAAGAAGAAATATTCTATACAAAATTTCATTACAAATCTCAGAAGATACCATATATCTAGGTTTAATAGATTTTGAAAAAATTACATTCGAAATTTCATATATTTCAAGTGAACGTTTGTTACAGCCAATTGAAGACGTTTCCACTCTTAGTAAAAATCTCCACTAATACTACATTTTTTGGGTAAAGTGTTGGAGAAAGAATTATTCTTCATCAAATTTCACTATAAGCCACCAAAGAAAAGATATCTGTGTTTTCAATATATATCAAGAAAATATTTGCATCAATGTTGCAAAGTTTCATATATTTCAAGTGAACATTATGTGTTTACGTTTTTTGCAGCCAATTGAAGACGTTTCCAATCTTAGTGAAAATCTCCACTAATACTTCATTCTTTTGGAAAAGTGTTGGAGAAAGAATTATTCTTCATCGAATTTCATTATAAGTCACCAAAGAAAGGATATATGTGTTTTCATTATATATCAAAAAAATATGTACATCAATGTTGCCAAAGAGCAAAAATATTTCCTTTTTTTTTGATAAACTTTTTCATTGCTATTTTTCGAGTTATTCGAGTTAATGTTCGAAAGTAACATTAAATTTAATTTTAGGCAAAAACTTTGAGAGAAAGAAATATTCTATGCAAAATTTTACAATAAATCTCAGAATAAACCAGATTTTAAGAAAATTACATTTCAAATTTATTTATTTCAAGTGAAAATGATGTGTTTACGATTTTTTATAGTCAGTTTTAGACGTTTCCACTCTTAGTAAAAATATCCATTCATTCTTCTGAGAAAATGTTAAATAGAGAAATATTCTTCATCGAATTTCACTATAAGTCACCAAAGAAAAGATATCTTTTTGTCCTTTACATATCAAAAAAAAAAAAATTGCATCAATGTTGCACAAAATAAAAAAAAGGGAAAATATTTCCTGATTTTGTGTGGATAAATTTTTCAACTGCCACTTTTTGAGTTAATGTCTGAAAGTTACATTAAATTTTATTTTAGGCAATAATTGTCAGAAGAAGAAATATTCTATACAAAATATCATTTCAAATCTCAAAATAAACCATATACAGGGTGAGATAAGAAAACTGCAACAAAGTAAAACGTCATAATTTTTACATTTTTTTGAATTGTGTTGAATTATAGCAAAAAATTTCGGAAATAGCATCAAATTTTAGAATAAGTTTAGATTTGTTGGAATTGGTCACCTTTGGCACGAATTATGGCCTTCAAAGGCCAATGAAACCGTCACACGTTGCCCGAATATTTCTCTGCGGTATTTAGGATCATTCCTGGCGAAGCGCTTGCTTGAGGCGATCGACACTTTGGTATTTTTAAGTGCCAACCTTTGCTTTCCAAAATACTCCAGACACAAAAGTCCAACGGGTTAGTATCCGGAGATTTTGGTGACCATTGTGCGCTGGAAATGAAGCGAGGAACCTCATTTTGTAACCATTCTTGGGTGGCGGGTACTGAGTGCGATGGTGCGTCCAAAATGTTTGAGTGCCCAAGGCTTTAATACACCCTCCAGAATATTTTCGCGATAATATTCGGCATTTATTCTGATGCCACGGTCGATTAATACGAGCGGAGAGCGACCTTCGGCTGTTATGGCGGCCCACACCATTACCATGGCCGGCTTGAGGCTTGAGTTCTGGTGGCCAACCGAAGGTGAACATGTTCAGCTGACCTCTTTGGCATGTAAACCCGACCATTTTGTTTGTTTACAAACTACTGGACAACGAATTTTTCTCATCGGAAAAAACCAAACTCGGCAGTTCACCACTTTCGGCCAAGCGAAGCAACTCTTTAGCTCTTTAGAGTCTATTTTCTTTCTGTTGTGGTGTAAGTTCTTGCACTTTTTGGAATTTTAATGGCTTTACTCCGAGCTCATGGAATATTGCGATATGTTTAGCTCACGAGCCATTTTTCGGCCACTGCGACGCGGGTTTCGATCAAGTCGCTTCTTCAAGTGGCTTAGAAATGACAGCAGTCTGAATTTGGTTGCTGTTTTTTCATCTTACCCTGTATATCGGAGCCGAGTTGCACAAAATGGAAACGTACATCCCGAAATTCCCTACATTTGGGCTGAGAATAGCCATTATTTGCACAATAAACCTGAAATCGGTTTAAGGATATATATAGGTGAGCTATATCCAAATCTTAGCCGATCTCGATAAAATTTGGTCATGGTATTTCCGAGCTTTATAAGATATCTGATACCAAATATCATTGTTGTCGAATGCATATTACTAATGTGATAGACTTAAACACCAAATCGGATGAAACATATATATGGGAGCTATAGCTATGTCTGAAGCGACTTTCTTCAAGCTTTATGTACTTACTTCTAGACTAAATTCGACGGATGTGCGAAAATTCAGGACTTTTTACAGATATTGGCCATTTGGTGCACAATTAACCCGAAATCGGTTGAATATATATGTGAGACTTATATCCAAATCTGAACTGATCTTGATAAAATTTGGCAGAG